TTCCACATGTAGGCCTTGACCCGAGTCACAGGATCCCGAGCAAGGAGTCTGATTGCCCCGCCCCCGTCCCCGCCCCTTCTCCCTTTTGCTTCCGCCTGGCTTACTCAAAAATTATGATGCTGGCAATGAAGACATATTGGTAAACGTTTCTTTTTCCCCTTCTCCCCTTTTCGGCTCCTCCTCGTCAATCATCGTGTGTCATTAACAAATGCATCCTTTATTCCTGGGTGTGAAACGGCTTTCGCTTTGTCATCCGGCATTGTTAATCGATTATCTTATTCCCACGAGACGGGCTCAAATTACTAAGGGAGCTCACAAAAAATGGGTGAGAAGGGAGCTACCATTGCATTAGCAGGTGATTTACTTGCCATACATTTGGGATTACACTAGGGGATTTACATATAAAATGCAAGACTGTTTTTGACTTTCTTAAGTTAATTAAATTTATCTTGAAGGACTTTCAGTAAATGAATAATAAATTATTCAAGGAAATCAATAATAATGCTATTGCTAATTGATTTGCTTTATTTGCTGTAAATTTTTATAAATGTAAAGTAAGTTTAACTGCCTTACAGATCTCAATTAGTTGAATAAAAATATATATATAGTTGGAAGCAGTCAACTATTAATTTTATTCGACCAATTTGGGTGTGCCCTATTCAACTCATGGCAAAGCCTCTTCCCTCTTCCCTTCATTGTTTCGGGTTACAAAAAAGGTCTGATATCGGGTCTGTGGCAATTAACCAACGCAGCCAAGAAAAAATCCGAAACAGGCAGCTGGATAGGAATGGAGCAGCAGCCAGCTCCTGCGATAGTTAGCCCAATTAACCCGCCCTGCCGCAAGTGGCCCACTTATCCCGAGGCAGGCATCAATGGGTTTAACTTTTTGCCCGACTTTCACAGCAATTTCACAATTTCGAACGGAGGTCCTCACTCATACACACACTTTGGCACACTCGTGGGTGTGGGTGTGTGTGTGGGCCATGAAATTGTCATGCTCTACTAACTATCCTAACTGAACTGAACTGAACTGAGCTGAATCTCTTCGGAAATACAGCTGCAGCTGCAATATGCGACTGTTTTTTAGCCATTTGAGCCACGTGGTTTGCACACAATGGTGCGTCAGTTTGGCGAGGGTGGCAAAACCAGATTAAATTGAAAACCAGAGTGCAAAACTTTTGATTCGATCTGTCTAATGGAAGACGGGCCAGCATATTGGAAAAGTTATTTGAAATTAAGTAGACTCTTTTAGCTGATATTCAAATCGTAGCCGGAGGATAAGAAAAGTTAACCAATTTCATCGTTGATTTCTTTGAAAAAAACATAAAACGTAGAAGAAAATTAAATAACTAGTATTATCTTTGTTTGATTGTTAAAATCTTTTGCTATTACCAATATTTTTGCAAAATATACTTAAGTTAGTTAATTACAAACTATAAACCTAGACTTTTTTGATCCTTTGCATACCTTAAATACTTCAAATGCACATCTAAGCTTGATAAACGTAGGAAATCAATACACCTATTTATTTGCTTTTTAGATGACCGCCCTAGGAATAACATCAAATTTGAATGACGTGCAGAGCGATTGTTAAACAACGTGAATTATTGAATAAGTGAATATTTGCACAGGGCATTTACATATTTCTGTCGTTTATTTCTCAGGGCCATTCGATCGTTTCTTTGTTTATGTTTATATTTGCATTCAAAACTCTTCGGAGGGGAATTTCGCTGACTCCGTACCCGTTTTCGGAGCACCAAAGTGACATGCTCCCCCTACTTAGCATACAGCCTGCAGTGCCGAGAATTTGGAATATATATTTTTTCGGTTACATTATGCAAATATTTTGATCCATTGAGCTGCGGATTTGGGTGCAGCGAGAAATGCATTTACTGCGACCCCGCTGGCCTTCAAATCCCATGGCTCGATCCACAGACATGCACCGCGGGCATAAATATTGATTTATATGAGCCGTATAGTCGAACATGTATATATCTAGGCACGTTCATGCGGCTGGCTAAATATTAATGCGCTCTAAATAAAAAGCGGCAGGCGCAGCTGAAATTATTTTTTCATTTTGGCCCTAAGCTCCTGTGCATTCTGCATTTTTATTTCTGCCTCTGTTTATTTCTATTTTCAGGTTCGGATTCAGTTTGTTCTTTCCTATTCCGTATTTCGTATTTCGCTTTCGTTTTAGTTTTTGTGTTTGTGCATTTTTCATTACAGCATTGACAGTGACAACGACAAATTCAACGGCAGCCGGAGTGTGTGCCCCAAAAGGCATGTGTTGGTGTGTGGCATGCAACAATGGGTGCGCTAGATAGTCGCCAGTGGCACTCGCAGCTGCAGTGGTGTGTGTGTGCCGTGTGTGCCGTGTGTGTTGCGCCCCTGCACTATGGGGCCAACGACCACTTTTGTTGGCCAAAATTAATAACTCGCTCAATTTTAGAGATATCGAGATAAAACTTTACCAATCGTTTTTTGGTATCCTTAGGCAACATATATGTTAAAAAGAAAAGGATCGAACAAATATATCCCATAGCTGCCATACGATCGATTTAGTCAACTTTGTTATTTTTCAAGATAATCGAATAATTTTTTTTTTATTATTATATACTTTATAATTATATTTATATTATATTTTTTTTATATTTTTTATATCTGCTTCTGAATAGAATTCAAAATGCCAAGCAAAATGTTCTTCGTTCCACAAAGGTTCAATGTAAATGCACGAAAATCGGATTAAAATAATTTTATTAATAAGTAAAAAAATGGGACCTGCTATTAAACATCATGCTCTTCGGATTCTAGTTCAATATTTTATTGAAAATCAAAAGGATTCTAATATTCAACGCAACTACTGTTAAGGTTGCAAAACTTGAGGTTATGTGCTTAAAATTAAAATTTCGTAAAAAGTGGCAATAAGTGGCGATTCTAACCATATACATTTTAAAAAGAATTTAATACTCTACAAATCTCAATAGGTTTCAGAAGTGGACTCCGCTGGACTCACTTTGTTGCTCTATTTAAAAATTAGTTTTCTATTTAAAAAACGCGTTTTAGGCAACTCACTTTATCACTTAAGTTCAAAGACAGCACGATAGATTTCAACCGTTTAAACACATAAACACTAAGTACATACCACCATTCATCGAATTCATATCACAAAAATTTTTTGGAACGCTTATAAACTGCTTTTTTTAACACTTTAAAAATGCAATTTAAAAGTCGTATTTCAAAAGCACGTGGCTTGCATCTTAAACATCTGATTTAACAGCTGTTATCTTAACAGAAGCGCACTCTATCGGAATTCCTGATACGTAACATTGCAGATTGGTCTTCTGTTAATATATCCTAAAACAACTTTTTTGGTTTTGACGACTTTTCAAAAATGGGTTTTGGCCAACGAATGTGGTCGTTGGCCCCATAGTGCCCTGGGGCCTCACTGTGTGCAAGTGTGTGTGAAGACGTGGCACTGTTTTTTTATTCTGTGACAATTTTACGGACCGCCCATTCCCCTTCCCCTTCCCCCTGCCCCTATCCCCATCAACTCATTCCCCTCGGGGGCACGCACAAAATGTGGCACAGCCACTGTTCTAGTTCCACATATTGGTGCTCTTTGATATGTGGCCTCCATCACTGGGAACAATTTAGTTTTAAAAAGGGGACATATTTTTGGAGCCAAGAGGTCACCACTAAATCTGTAATGTGTTTAAGAAGCTTAGAAACTATTATTTTGAAGTTAATTATGTAGATTTAAGATAGCCCTTAATGTAGCATTGAAAATACATTCTAAATTTGTGTATTTCATGCGGAATACAATTTGAAGGGAAATATAATATTTTAGGATGAGTATAAAATATTATTTAGAAAGTATTAATACTTATTCAACATTAAATGGATTTCATTTTTAGTACGACAATTTCTGTTAAAGTTAATCTAATTGAAAATTGTAAATTAATAAGAAGTTTAATAATGCAAATCATCCATATAAAAAAATCCTAAAAGGTATAGGTTTTTAGAAATATATAATTCTTATGGTACAGATTCCTAAAGAGTTTTTAAAATAAGCTTTTCTGAAAAGGTAAACATATTTTTAAAACTCAAATTTTAATGCTATGGAAACTTAGACTTATGCTAAGGGTTAAATGCTAAAGATAAACTTAAAAACATTAGCATACATATATCTATATTTTTGACCAAAACAAAAATTTAAAATACCACAAAAATAGAACACCTAAATGTATTTCTCAGTGCACTTTCTATCCCGATTTTGGCCTGTTCAATAGGTTTTTTCCCGCACTCCTGTTCGCCCGACGATTGGGCAAACCAACATTCTGCTGCTCTCTGTCTTATTGCCGGGCGATTTCTGGCTTTGTTGATTGCTTGACAAATTGCCAGCCAACCAGAGGGAGAAAGAGAGGGGGGGATAGACAGCCAGAAAGAGACGGGCAGACAGACAGCCGCTTTCACTGCGAGTTGTAGACAAGTGTTCTTGTTGTGCTCTGGGGAAGTGGACGGACGGGTCGGGGAGTCCCATTGCTGTTGTTGCGGTGTCAGCCATTGACAGGTGATGCACAGGTGATTTCCGCGCTCATCGCCTGACCTGTCAACTGCACTCGACAGCGCCAATGAAATGTAACAAATTAACGATTTCTCGATTTGCCGATTTCTCGATTTGCCGACTTCTCCTTTGTTGCGGCTCAATGGTGATATTTGCCACATTTCACTTGATACTTTTGCCAAATGCATTTTGACAATATTTCATGCTTTACAGCGCCGCTAATTAAATTAAATCTTGTTCGGTGAACAACATTGGATATTTCCCGCAAATTGCTATGAATACGAAATTGAAAATCGGTGCATAAAATAAATGTAAATTATATGCAGCATTATTTTGGTGTAATTTTTACGCCACGTTTTTATGTGGGTTTTATTTTGTTTTAGTCAAAAGTCATGATGTTTGCATGTGTGTGTGTGGGTGTGTGTGTGATATTTACCGCAAATGCCGCATGCCGCAATGTATGCTATAATAAAAATAAGTGCCGTGGGTTTTTGCAGCCTGTCAAGGACACGGCCGTGCTTGATGCGATATAATCCACTTGATGCCGGCATTTTTTTGTTGTTGTTGTTGTTGCTGCTCTTATGGTTGTTGCACTTTTTTCCCCTTTTTTGTTGTTGCTGTCAATTGTTTTGCATTTGTAATTCAATTTATCAGCGCTTAAATTTCATTTCATTTGTCACTGCACTTGCATTTCAATTGGATGACATTGCTTTAATTGAAACGTTTTGCTCCGGTTCTAATTGTTTTTTATTCAGCCCACACTATTTGCACATTTTCGTTGGCTATATTTTGTTTTCTTTTGTTATTTCAAACTTAATTAAATGCAATTTCTGCGTTGATTTATGCACATTTTAAGTGACCACATTGCTAAGCGCCATTTGCAATTAACTTTGCATTTTTTAATTAAGCGATTTTTTACTGTTTAATTTTCGCTTAATGTCTGACCTTTTTTGCTTGTAATCCTTTAGTCACATTTTAGCTGGGCGCACGTGGCTGCCATATGCCAGCACCTTTGGAATTCATCATTTATTGTTCCGCAAAAAAAGTGACCACGTTGCGTATACGTTGCGCATACGTCGCGTTGACCGCACTAAGCCCGCTTGAAAACTTCACCGCACCGAACCCGTTACCGCCGTGGTCAAAGTTCAACTGATTGAGCAGCAGCGTGGGACTTTGCCTGCTGGTAGTCGCTGGTGTTGTTGCTTTGCCTTCGGTTGCACGGCTGCTGCTTTTCCTGCTTTTCTTGCTTTTCCTGCTGCCGCTTTCGCCGCCTGTCTGTTTACTTTACGCTTTCGCACGCGACTGACACGAGGACCCAAGGAAAATCAGGCAACACCAGCAGCAACATCAACAGCAGCAGCACCATCAGCAGCGGAAAAGTCTGCACAGGCTTCGTGTTTTGGACTCTCTCTAATTTTCTTTTGGGGAAACTGTCTCTCTCGTTTTATAGCATCTCTTCTTCGCGTGAAATGTTTGCTTAATTGGTCCTCGGAGGGGCAAACCAAAACCCTTATCAACTGGGGAATTAAAAGGAATAGGTGACTAAATTTCAGTAATTAACTATTTAATTAATTCATAATGAAGCCATAATGAGCTATGTGACCAACGAAAGTCAAAATAAAACTTTTAATAACCTATAGACAACCACTAATTATCAACATTCTTAGCCCTTAAATTAAATTTACAGTTTGAGGCAGAACTACAACTGCTTTAAAAAATAAAAAAAACTATAGTTAACTGATGGTTTAAAAAAAATTTGCTAATTTATTCATATAAATAAAAAATTGACTTAAAATTCAATTTTCAATATTTATTTTCACTCAACTTATGCTAATTTTATTAAATACACTTCTTTCTGCTTGTATTCCAATTGTTTTCAACCAATTTAATCATTAATATTTAATTAAACTTATGTAAATTATCTTGCCATATTATAGAAGCCAATTTAGCTTTTAAAGGATAAAACTGTCTGTCTTAAATTTAATTTAAATTATCTTTTATAATATTTTTATTAATATTTGATACATAATTTAATTAAATATTAATTCTATTAAATTGTCCTCAGTCCACTTTCAATATTGTCAATTCTCAGTCAACAGCTGTTACTATTTTTATAGCAAACATTTCCTGCTTTCGCTCGCTCTCTCTTCCTTGTTGTTTGTGCGCATAGTTTGACTCTCTCCGCTCTCTTCCCTGCTTTCACCGCACTCTCTTTTGTGCAGCCATCAGCCGAGTGCCGAAAGCGCCTTCGTCACGCGTCTCGTCTCGATTCGGGGACAAACAAAGCGCCAGCAAACCGCTTCAATTTGGGTTATTGTGCTGAAATTAGTTGGGACCGAGTTTCGGGCCCTCAGCTGGGCGAACTTTCCATTTCAGCCAGCTCACGGTTTTTTGGCAAGATTTGTGCAAACATAAGAACATTGCATACTTTTGGGGCTAGCCGGAAATCCAAGTTGAAGATGGCTAACACGCTTTAGACCTTGTCGAGCACTGAAAGCATTTTCACGTAGAAGGCGTTATCTCTGCAGCTGAAATGCCAAATTTCGCTTGAGTTCTCTGACCAACAAGGCAAAAGGGGTGGAGAGAAATAACAGGGGTTTTAAGTAGTTTCAAATAAAATTAGGAAATTCTACTTGCGGCATACATTTAAATAAATTTAAAAATTTTAAACATGAACGAGCTCTTTATTAATATTAGAAAAACTAGTTTTATTTTAAATGAAAATTATAAATTAAAATACAAATCGTAGGAACACCTCCTTCATTTTTAAGTTTATATTTCACGTGTGTTTCTTAACTTTAAGCTTAATTGCTTACTATATTGCATATAAAAGGGCCATTTTATATATGGCCAAAAACATTTATTTGTACCGACCTATACAAGCCTCGAACACCGAATAATCTTAGCTGTTGTCTAAGCGGCCAAACTGGAAAATAATAACCATATATCAGGCAATGAAAACCTGCCATCAAACATCTATTCGTGTATGGTAATTCCCTTGCTTTGCCCCTCGATATCTGCCACACTGACCCACTCAATCTCACTTTCGCCCAGTATCCGTATAAATGGCCGGCAATTTCTGTTGTCGGAGCATATAAAAAGTTACACTTGCCGGAACCCTTACTTTTATTTTATGTACCCGCAGCCGCAGATTGCTGCAGCTTTCATTATCTAAAAACAAGAAAATCACAGACAATCAGTTAACGCTGCTCAAGCAAATAAACTCGTCAGGACCCGCAAAAAAGCGAGAGTGAAAGGCAGAAGAAAGGCGGCAGAGGAAGAAGCCCAGACGGGCAAGAAGTTTTCCTCCTCGTGTGCTTTTTCTTTCGGGGTCTCTAAGCAAACTCGGGGAAAAAGTTTGTCTTTGCCCGTTCGCCGGTTCCAGTTTGCAGTCAATGGTGCGTCATTATTTTCATTTATTGGCACAATCAGTCAACGTTTTATTTCCGGAATGTAATTAGGTAAACTGCCAGAGACAAAGACAAGCATACACGCTCACACACACACACGCCGGAAATACGCTGACAGATGCAGATGGGGCATGGAAAGGACGAAGGGGGAACCTGCTGCCAGTGTCCTTTATGGCACAGTAATGCGATAAGTTTGCGCCCAAGTTGGGGCAGCCAGACAGACAGGGAGTTCCAAGGACCTGGAGTGTGCATCGCCGAGGCCGAGGCTGCTCCTGATCCCTTACACTGCAGATAAGTGGTCCACAAAAGACTGTTCTCCATACATTATTCTCCATATGGCAGTTACAACAATAAAATCTTTAAGATTATACTCCGTTTTACAGAATAATTTTAAGACTTTATATTTAAAGACCTTTAATTAACTTAACTGAAGCGTCCTTCTAAATCAACTTGTAATTATTTCTCTTACAAATTAACATCTTATTTTGCCTGTTAATATTGGTTTTAATTTATAAATTATCTTTTATTATCTTTATACATTTCCAAATAATAAACATAGCCCATAAAATGGTAAAACTTTTTGGTAGATTATATAATATTTGGTTAATTAGGTTTTTATATCTTTTTCGAAAATATACATATTAATAACTAATAAGGCCATATTTAACGATAAAGATTTTCTCTATGTGTTAAAAATTGATACAAGACTCATACGTTAATGTCAAGTTAACAATATGTTAACTATATCATAGAAGTACAAGTGAAATGAAATTTAAAGATTTCCCTGCTTTGAATGACACACTCCTAAAAACTTAAATGACATTCTCTCAGTGGAAACTTGACCTCGCGTTTCGCAGTTGAAGTACTCGCACAATATATTTCCAAATATAAACACGCAATTATTTGCGTATTGGCTGAAGGGCAAATTGCCAGGGGATAGTGAAGCGATGATGGAAAACAACTTCTTCAGCGCTGCGCCAAATTGAAAACAAATGGGCAGGACCATCAGAGGATGCAGAGGGCAGTGGGGACCGGGGAGAGTTAACGAGGGAAAACATCTCAAACCAAATGGTAGTGGAAGTGGAAAACAAGCTGCAGCAGCAGCAACAGCAGCAGTCAGCGAAATTTCAAAAATGCTGCCACCTTCGGATGAGGCATCAGCGTCAGGTTGCTGAAAATGGAAAAGTTTCGGCGCGAGGAGATGAATTGCTCGCTGTCCCAGCACACAATGCCCAGGAAGCGGCCAGGAAAACCCCGACACCCCCAGGAAATCCCGCAGAAGGAGCCAGGAAAAGCCAGCAGCTGGCAGTGGGTGAAGCGAAGCGTTCCAGATAGAATTTGAGCGCAGTAAATTTTTCAATCGACTCGCTAATAAAGGCAATAAATATTCGATTCGCTTTCGTTTGCCTCCGTTTGCCTCCGTTTCGATTCGATTCGATTCGATTCTTTTGAAGTATTTGCTTTCTGCTTTCGCCTGGATACACCACTCTTCTCAATAGTTTCGTATTATGTTTGATAATCCGGCAGCTTCTTTCCTTATCGGCTATTTTCGAGCAATTCAGCTCGCTCTTTTTCAATTTTCTTGCCGCTTTGTTTTGCTTTCCCACTTGTTAGACAGTGCGACAGCGAAAATTTCATTTCGTTTCACTGCATTTCACGTTAAATTCAATTTAACGTGCTGGTATTTTTCACTCCTACCTTATTCCCCGACCTCGGGCGGCATTATTCCGGCAAACATAGCTCACAATTTCCATCGTTTGCACCGCCATTTTCCCATTTTCCATCCAGGGTGCATTGTTCGCAGCCCGTTGTTCGCAGTAAATAAAAGGCGACGCAACAAAGCAGAAATGAAGAAATTCCCCAAAATGGAAATGTGTCACACAATGTCGTTCGGACTTTTCCTTTTTGGCCCGAGTTTCCCTGGAAGCGTGTTAAGCGCATAAATGAGCCACAAAATCGGAATCAAAAGTATTGCAGGACAACAACAACTATGGCCAAACTGCTGACGCAGACGAACTGGCAATAGTTTTACAGCCTCTCATTTTCATTTTTCAAACATTTTCCGGGGGCTTCCCGCACTCGAGCGCCACTTAACCAAATTGAATATGGAAATTGATTTTTATTGTAATTTCTGCCGATTCACTCGGCCATTGGTATCCCTCCGCTAGATTAGATTATCCACCAGTTGGCCTCATCGATTTCCCGAGGAATTTTCGGCGGCGAACTTTGGCCAAAGTTTATTGAAATATTTAGCTTAGCGGGAACTTAAGTAATAAGTTGCCGAATCAGTACGCAAAAGATTAAAGTCCAATAAACTAGAGAGTAGGGGCTGGGGCGAATCGCATACCTAAGTGCAGAAAAACTCTTTCAAAGCGGCGAAAACCACTGGCAGAAATTGCGTTTTCATTGCGAATTACTGGTAAAAGTTTGCCCACCAAGATAGTAATGGGCTTTTAAGCCCTTTGAGCCGCAAATTAAAGTCCCCCGAAGTGCTTCCAGTCACCTTCAGATGTTGCAACAATGGACCGGCGAACTGATTGTTTCTGCAGAAATTCTGATGGTTTCCACTGCCACTACCTTAATTATTTTTCCCCGACGAACAAGCCCGAAACGAGCTGCCAAGCGGCCAATTATCCGCCATAATGCGATGATTTAATTTAAAAACCTGTCGCAGAGAGGCATGTGTCAGTCGGTGCGTTCCCCGCACCAGTTTTTCCGGCTGACAAAGGAGCGCGAAAACGGCTTTGTTTCGGCCATATCTTGTTAATTATGCCCAAGGCTGTGGGGAGTGGAAAATATGTGATGACAATGACACCTCTGCATGTCCGAATCTCAGCAATTTACGACTTAATCTCTTAACCAGGCTAGGAACATATTTT